TTTGAATACTTTTTATTGCAATCTGATTTTCTTTTGTGTAAATATGTTCCCACACACGAAAACACAGTGCAATGAAAGCCACATTTCTCTTTCATGCAATCATATCATTTACTTCAATTGTGTTCTTCTCTCCTCCTTAGATGGCTTTTTCACGATTAGCTTAAGAAGCGCTCAGTGTACTTTTGCATGTTTAATGAGCAAATCTTAGTGACTGTTGACTGAAATCAGAATTCACATGGGATCTCTTAAGAGCAGAGAATATGACTCATACCACCAACAGTTCATTTCTTTAAAATATGCCTTAGGAGGTCAAACCAGAGAGGTACTGTGGCCTTGGCATGTGAGAAAACTAAATAGACCCACATTTTTCTGCTGGGATTACCACGAGGCCATGTTCTCACCACTGACTTTGGTTCAGGGAACAGTGCCTGCGTTTTCTGCCCTATGACACTGTTGCTTACACTACCTTCCTATTTCAGCCGTAATAGTTCTTTGAACGTGAGGGAGAACAGTCATCCTCCCCCGGGCTCTGCTAGGGTTATGTTCACTGAGGAACATTCCATGGCAAAATTATAACTGGGGTCCAGTCTCACAGCTCTGTACATTAATGCACCATTTCTACAAGGCTAAGCCTTCCCAAGGGTGGCTGGGTAGACCAGGACTAAAGATCCAATACATAATATACGGGAGACCATTTTTTCCCTTCAATCCCCTCACTTGGTCCTGGGCCCAGCCTGCATGGGCTGTCACTTTCCCGTTCCAAGTTGATCTCAGTGGTCAGAGCCTTAGCTGCCTTTCTCTGCCGCAGTACCATGGTTAGGGAGAGCCCCTGTACTCTGCCAGACACGTTTCTATAACTCCAAATTTTAAAGAGAAATGTGGGATCTTGATTTCTTTTTCTTCTAAGGCCCCTGGGCAAATATACAATTGTTCCCAGTTAATCCTCAATAACATTCAAGCACAGCACATAAATAATTTGCCATTAAAAAATTAAAGGTCTTCCTGCTCAAAAAGAAAAAAAAAAAAAAGAAATTGGCATAGGAAAGAGCCAGCTCGTATTTCGTGACAATAGCATCTGTCACTTAGACTCACTTCCTGGGAGTAATGAACATGATAAAAGGGTTGGACTCAGTCTCTGTTCATTGCCTAGTGCACCTATTAGGTGCAGATCCCAGTACTGTTATGTAAGTGAACAGATTCAGTAACTAAGGTTAGGCGTTAGTTTCACAGGATACCTAGTGTTTGTGAAGTTCCAGAATTCATTATATCTGATATAGCATGGCAGGTAAATTGATAGGAAATTAATTGGAAGACAGTTCCAAACATAATAGCTCAGTGGAAACATCCAGAATCAATTAATCAAACTGCAGCTCATTTTAATTGGACCCACTCTAACCTGAAAAGTCATTGGAATCTTTAATTAAGCTTTCAAGCTCAATACTATTTACATTGGCTGTGTTCTCCAGAATAGTTCTTCTTAAAATAAGAAGTTATTAATTTGAAACCTAATGGTAAAGCAAAAATCCTCAGCACATGTATGACATGTATACTTATGTTTAATTAGATGATTTTCCTGATAATTTGAAAATGTAGTTTAAAACTGTTTGATTAAGGGGGTACCTGGGTGGCTCAGTCAGTTAAGTGTCTGCCTTGGGCTCAGGTCATGATCTCTGGGTCCTGGGATCAAGCCCCACGTCGGGCTCCCTGCTCAGCAGGGAGTCTGCTTCTCCCTCTCTCTCTGCCCCCTTCTCCCTGATCATGCTTTCTCACATGTGCTCTCTCTCTTTCTGTCTCTCTGTCTCTCAAATAAATAAAATCTTTTAAAAAATAAACTATTTGATTAGGTAAATATTAACTCTTCACAAGTACACAATTCAGAAATCCTCTTTGCAAGGCTGGGTGTTGATTTTCTTCTCACTATTAGAAATACATGTATTTAATACATATATGTGGGGTTTTTTTTCCTGTTAATATCCCCATCCTCTGACCTTCTTGTTCACCAGGTACCTATTTCTACCATTATAAACATCATGTGTTTCCCTGTCTAAATCTATTACTAGACCATGAGCTCTATGAGGGCAAGATCAGTTGCAGATAGTTCCGTACCTCCCATGTCAGACACCATGACCAGCGAAGAGCTCCTACGTAGAGCTGGCAGAACTGAAACGCTGTTCAAACCAAAAATGATCTAAGGAATAGAAGAAAATGAAAATTACCTTTTTTGACCATATTTTGGTGTGGAGACACAGTTTGCAATAAAAGGCCAACCGTAGGGTTTTGCTCTTTCCTGCCTCTAACTGATTGTGTTTATTTTAATATTTCCTCAGCTGTATCCATGGGCTTGTCCCTGGAATTCTCATGCCTCTAGTTCCTCATCATCTAGAACAAAATAAAACAAATAAGAATAAACAAGCTGAGGCAGATGAAAAGGAATTGTATTCATCTGTTGGACTCCCATGTTATTTAGTTATGATGTCACTGGCAAAGGGAGTTCAACTCCTAAAGCAGAGAGACTTGCTGCTTCAGAGTGACAAATGCTTAACAGACAATGATTTAACATTACTGTGTACTATAACCTATATATCATGATTTAAAGTACTATAACATGAAATAAATGAAATACACCAGGAATCCACCTGTAATCCAGACTTCCCAGCACCAGACTCTCCTCCAGTGAGTCCCCGGGCCAAAGCTAAAAGCAAGGCTGTGGGCTTCCTTACCCAGCAAAGAAAATTCCAGCAAGGATGCTAAGAGAATTTGGTCAAAGGCTTAACTCTGAGCTCTCAACATTCTATTGAGGTGAGTTAGCAGAGTGTGAGAATAGGGAGGTCTGAAGCTAAGGTGAGGAGCTGCTTTAATGTGGAAGGAAAAGAAGAGGAGTCCTAAGAATAAGGGGAGGAGAGAGATTTCAGGAATGGAAGGAGACAGAGTAAATGTAGGAGGAAGGAAACAAGAAGATTGTCAGCTATTCTGAGACTCTGGGATGAGATGAACTCTTTTATCCCTGCCATGCCCGCATAAACTGGAATTGGAATATGTCTGGCTCCATTGCATCCTGCATCTGGATTTATAAATAAAAATATGACTTCATTGTATGTGCGTCATAGAAGAGGCACAAATTATGTCAGCTGAAGCAATTTCGATATACAAATTTAAGTACAGGTGGTTTAATGGGGACCCTTATGTCTATGAATCTGAACTGTAAATACCACTAGTGAAATGAGTCCAAAATTCTTAGAAATTCTTTTGGTTTTCCCTTCATGGTATTTCATTATTCAAAAATATAGAATTAATGGATTCAGAAATATTCCTTGGGTTTTATCCTCATTCTCAGGCTTGGGGACCCAAACTACCCTGTGCGGCCAATAGTGTTCTCTCTCTGAAGCACCAAGCACCCAGCTCCCACCCCCGTGGCATAATTCAGTTTCATGAGCCAGTGCATTAACTGATTATTAATAATCAGTTATTAATGTCAATTGCTGATCAATTAGTTATTATTATAAGTCGTTACTGCACAGCTCTTCTGTGTCAGGCACAGTTCTCTGTGCTAGGGTACAGGGTGACTGAAGCAGATATATGCTGATAATACACAAAGTCATTTGGTAAGATGTAAAACCTGGTAGAAGGTGACCAAGACCTATGTAGGGTCTTTCTGGCCAACTCTTGGTTCTGAAGGTTAAAAAAAACCAAACCTGTTTAATCTTTGAGGATAAGGAGATGTTAACTGATGAAGGCTGAATGAGGAGCGTGCTAAGTGAAGTGGTCAAGGAGGGAGCCAGCATGTCCTAGGAAGAGGCAGTCTGTACACAGCAGGTGTAAGATCCTGGCCATGAGACCGCATCATCTGTTCAGCAACAAAGCTCCTTTTTAGAGGACCTGTGATCATCTAACGCCTCTGGGTAGAACCATCCAGACTATTTAGATTAGAGGACTATTTTCCCACTTAAGTTCTGAGTATTACTTTATGGTGTTCCTGGACACCAGGTGAAGGGCCTCTTTGAGCTTACATTCTTATTAGGATCATGCTGATGAAATGTGGGGTCAAGGGACCACCTGAATAAGATCCTCCTGGGAGGTTTGTTGATTGTTTCGATTCACAGCCCTTATTTCTGGCCCACAGAATCAGTGTTTCTTGGAGCAAGGCTTTATTTTTAAGAAGGCTTCCATGTGACACTTATATTCCTTAAGGTTTGAGAGCCTCTCTCTGCCTTAGAAGAGCAGGGTCTGATTCCACTCAGACATTGTAAACCTCTTCAGGGGTCACTTGATAAGTCATATTGTCATGTATTAGCCAATAAATGCTACATCACTGTCTCTCCATCCACCCCCTGCCCCCAGTTTGAGAATCTTTCCAAGCTTGCATCAGACCACACTGGACCAGTATTTAGAAGAAATTCACTGGGAAGTATGCCAGACAAAAGCAAATAATCTCAGTTACCGTGTTTTTGATGGAAGAATAACGACCAAAGACCACAACAGTGCACAGTCGTTAGAAGAGCTCAAGGAGTCTTTCATAATTCTCAATAAATTAATACTGTACCAGCATCAGGATCAGGTTTCAATATGAAGAACGAGCCACACCGACCCACAAATACATGCTGATTTAAAATTGCAAAAAAAAAAGCTTCTACTTAAGACAATCAATCCATAAGATATAGCCTTATTTTGTTCTTTGAAAGAAACGAAAAAACAAAACAAAACAAAACACCTCTCTGGCTTACATTTTGATAAATCATTTTTGGAAAACCAATATGTAACAAATTCAACCTTTGGAAAAAATTGAGTTCGCGTTTTATCTTCTTGAATTCTCTCAATAGTGTGTCACAATATTCAGCACAAAACACCGTGCTCCCCAAATTATATAGGCTCATCCCGTTTTGCCCATTCCTTGTAAGGCCACGGCTTCTGCCGTTCTCTGTGAGGCCTCAGTTTCACCTGGGCTTGAAATCCTGAATAAAACACCCAGGAACACGTTTCCATTTGCAGTATTTCCCTTTCAGGTGGAACGGCCACCAGACAGAGGGGCTTTCTGGGCTGCATTCGGTCTCTGCAGTTGAACGGAATGTCCCTGGACCTGGAAGAAAGAGCTAAGGTGACGCCCGGAGTGGAGCCGGGTTGCAGAGGGCACTGCAGCAGCTACGGAAAATTGTGTCAAAACGGAGGGAAATGCAGAGAAAAGCTCAGTGGGTTCTCTTGTGACTGCACCCTCTCTGCATTCACAGGGCCGTTCTGCTCCAGGGGTAAGTATGGCACTGGCTGTCCTGACAGGAAAACTCACCCAGTCTGAAGAAAACATCTTGCAGTGATTTTCTGGGTAGCTGATTTGAAACAAAAATAGTTCCATTTCGGATTTTGGTTTTTTGCAAATTACCTGTTTCATGCTAATCCCATTTCATTTCTTAAATATGTGCCTCAATTCTTAAAAAAAAATTGTATCTATTAATAATAAAGCCTCTCAAGTTGCCTCTAGGTGTCCTAAAGCGTTGGCTGCTTAATCTGCTTTTTTCTGTCTAATGCTGATGCTCTGAGGTATTATGGCTGTCAGCAACCTGTCCCATGGGGCAGCTCTCTGTTTTAAAATCTTTAAAGGCATTATTGTTATTTTTAATGAAGATCATCAACCGTGAAAGGAGATTTAGGAAGGATTGCGTTTTGGTTTTTGCCAAACAAATATTTTTTCCAAGAATAAAAATAACTTTTCCGTTAAATATGCACGTGTAACAAAAAAGAGATACTCAGGCATTTTGCTCTATGATGTGGCAACCATCTGTGACGTAAAATAGTGGGGTATTTTTCAGTTTGTCTTGTTCGCAGACCTACGTCATGGAAGAAAGAAAGAACTGAGTGTAGTATTAAGTGTTCTGGACGGACTTCTCTGAATACACAGACATTCGTTATGCTTTCATAGTTGCTCCTAGGAAACTGCCATCATGTTTAATTCAGTTGCTTTATTTGAGTGTGTCTGAGCTCCTGAACCTTTTTCCTGAAGGAGGCTAACAAAAATTGCCTCCAAACTGAGGCAACTCCTGCTTTGCAAAGAAAGCATTTGGGATTATTTCATGAAAAATGGGTTAAAAGTCATCTACTTTTTATCAGAACTAAGTTATAATTTCAAGTCAACCTGTGATAATAACTCACACACCACTGCTATCATTCTAGGAGGCCGTTTACATTTTAAGAGATGCCTGGGTGGCTTAGTGGGTTTAATGTCTGACTCTTGATCTTGGTCTTGATCTCAGTCACGTTTTGATCTCAGGGTCACGAGTTCTAAATAAAGTTAGAACAAAGACCACCTCTTCTGAAGAACTTGTCTTTACTTTCTGAGTCTAAATGATTTCTAGTTCAGCTTGCTAACTGCAATCAAGAATGCTACTCTGCATCTATGTATCGTATTGCATATAAAAAGTGTATTACAGAAACAAAAATAATAAAACAAGCAAATTAAAACACTCTTCAAGTGCCAAGGGAATGGAGATGTTGCTATATTACCCTGTGAGCATCATTTACAACTCATGTTCCACAACTGGTCCTTTATAGTAATGGAGAGAAGCAGAGTTCCAGGATCCAGCTCTAATTATTCCTCCAGTATCCTCCTCATTTTCATACATGTATAAATAAATAGGTAGTGTGTGTGTGTGCATGCACATGCATGTGTGTGTGAATTTGTGATATTAATCTCATATAAGTAAAGTACTACACTTTTGTAAAACTAAAAGAGACTGGATAGTTCCTTATGTTGATCACTGCTGCCCATCTTATATTAACACTGGACTTAGCTTCTTTTCATAGGGCACAATAAATAGGGGAAAGTGTTTAGGCAAAAAAGAACATTTCTGCCTCTTGATCCTGGAAGGTAAGAAGACCCCTCAAGCTTCCTTCCTTCCTATTACAGGAAGACTAGTGCATTCTAGCTACAAAATAATAGATGGGACTAAAAATTTAAATAAGAAAATGGATGATAAGGGAGATAAAAGCCAAGAAACCTGGTTTATGTCTGAAGTCAGAGAGGGGTATGTTATGCTTTCAATTATAAGGTTAACTAGCAAATTAATTACATATAATTCTAACATAAAGCCATTTCAAGGACAGTCATAAAAGCTCTATTAATTTCCTGTGGTCTTTAGTCTGGCTTGGGGCTATTTGTTGTATCTATACAATTTGTTATTTTTAATTAGAAAATATCAATATAACTGAAACAAGATCCTTGTACTTAATTTTTTTAACATAAAATGTGTCTATCATTTCAGAGATTTCTGCATATTTTGGATCTGGCTCATCTGTGATTTACAATTTTCAAGAAAATTATTCCCTAAGTAAAAATTCCAGCTCCCACGCTGCTTCATTTCATGGCGATATGAAACTGAGCAGAGAAATGATCAAATTTAGCTTTCGAACAACACAAGCACCAAGCTTACTGCTTTATGTGAGCTCCTTTTATAAAGAATACCTTTCAGTTATCATTGCCAAAAATGGTGAGTGCTTTTAGATGAGAGAGAGAGAAAATTGATTTAGAACATTAGATTAGTAATAATATGGATTGTTCTCATGTTCTTGCCTCTCAAACTATGAAGAAGAAAACCATGCCTGTTTTTTGTATTCAATATTTTTAATACTATCCTATAAGTTTAATCTAAAAGGATTACTTAAAATTAAGATAGCTTTAGCTTATTATAACTTTGATAATTTTACATATTCAGTGTTAATTTTTTATTTAAATAAAATACTTATCATATTGTATTATTGCTAAAAGCTCTTTACTATTTCATATAATATCAATATCAATTTTGTGGGTCATTTTGAAAGAAGATACCTATTTGTATATAGTAAATATTTCCTTCAATTAAAAGTAGAGAAGTTTTGAGGGAATGTTAACAACGTAGCATTATATATAGGAAAAGGTCCCCAAAGTAATCTGTTGGTTCTAATGGTCAGCAATGAAATAGTCATGGAAAATGCTGGTACAGGGCAATGGCTTGTGGATTAGGACATGTGTATGTTACAGAAACCTTGTCACAGAAAACCACTTGGCTGATGTTTTTTCTCCTCCCTATATCCAGATTAAAGATAAAAATTCTATAGATAAATTATTTGAGTGAAGAAAATAAATTTATAAACTTGAATTATCATTTCAACTCAAATAAATATGGCCCAAGGGCACTGAACACTAAAATAAAAATAATATTGATTAATAAGTATATTTACCTTCCCTGTGTATCTTTTGAGCTTGAAGCTTATCTATACATTAGGATATTTTCTTTGCTAAATTGGAGATACCTTGTGAAATAAATTAAATTGGCATCTTTGCAGGCAGCTAAGTGAGTAGTATTAATTCTCATGGTAAGTTTGGCTAAAAACCATTCATTTCATCCTAATTTCATTCCAAAGTCTATGACTGTGACCATGTGGAAATATTTTTCATCTTTAGTAAAACTCTATTTGCTTATAAAAATTCCATTAGTCAACTGCATTTTAGGAGTGGCAGATGTATTTTTTCAAAGGTGAGATTATGGAAGCACATTAATGCAATATTCCACAATAGTATACTAAGGTGTGTTTTTTTAAGTTAGAGACTAGTATAGAGATTTGCTTATGCTTAACGCATATTTGACTTCTAGGGGAAAAATTAAAGATTTGCAGGAAAGACTGCTTATTGGCAACATGCTTGGTCTTGATCTTGAAAACAGGGCAGTTTGACACAGAAGCTGACTTCTAGGAATTACGAGGAAAGGAGACCTCCAATAAGCTACTGTGAATTTTCCACCTGAAATTAGTAGCTAAAAAGAGTACTCTGAGTTTTTATAAGTAGCTCTTAAACTACACTTTTAACTAAAAATATAACTTCTCTTCCCTACTCTAGGAAGTTTGCAGATCAGGTACAAGCTAAATAGATATCAAGAACCTGATGTCGTTAACTTTGATTTCAAAAACATGGCGGATGGGCAGCTTCACCACGTAGAGATTAACAGAGAAGAAGGCGTGGTCTTTGTAGAGGTAATATAATACATTCAACAGAAGCAGTGGTTACAGTTGCGATTCCCCAGCATGAAGGACCGTCGGCAGAATTATGATAATGAATAGACTGAAGACATCCTTCCAATGCTGCTCTTGCATAGACCATCGACAGACTGCCAAATGGGGTCTAGTTTTTGAAAGGATAAAGGTTCTGTCCAAGATATTATTACTATTTGATACCCCAAATGCCAGCCTTTCCTCATTTGTTTTACGTCGCTCAGGAGGGAAAGCTGTCTCTTTTATCGTACATACTAGTAGTAGGGGAATTGCTACTCCCATGAAACCAAGGGAATTGCTCACTCTACCAGCTTTTGAAGAAAAGCACGAATGTTTTGGCCCTCTACATAGAGGAAAATGTCTTAGCTGAATGACTCAAGTGAAAATACCGACCTAGTTACGTAAAGGTATTAAGGTGAAAATAACTCGCATCTTTCTTTTTTCTTTTCTTTTCTTTTTTTTTTTTTTAGCTTTACCAATTTTGGATTTCTCATACAGTGGAGAAAATTAAAATGATATAAGGGGATAGAAGGTGGGGTGCACTGGTATCTGAGGGTAGAATAGAAGGTTTAGAAAATACCATTCACCTTTGTAAATGGCTCTTTAAAATTTGTTTTTCTAAATCTTGGGGGCCATACTAACAATTGCCTGTTTTATCATTTTCTTTTGACTTCCTTGGCTTTCTGTCATCTTCCCAACAAAATGGCATCCATCTGGCTGTTTGCACCTCATATAACAATTCTATAGATTGACGAGAATGCAAAGAGACAAGTCCACCTGTCATCAGGTACAGAATTCAGTGCCGTCAGGTCTCTTGTACTGGGCAGGATTTTAGGTAAGTAAAGGCACGACCTTCCCCTAATTGTGATGCATAAAGATCAGAAGAGTCCTATTCCAAACATGCACACAGGCCACACACAAATTCATCATGCCAAAAGGAATCTCCTGTTTTATTTTAAGTACGAAATGAGTGATAATCAAGGCAGAAACCATACCTTCTCAGGGGTTATGTAACCATGTGCAGGGACTTCCTGTTGAGCAAGCATGGTCCTTTGATAGTAATGTCACTGTGGTCTCTGCGTAATGAAACATGATTTTGTTCTCACACTTCAAAAATATCAAACGGTAAAAGTAGAAGTAACAGACTGTATCAATCAGCTGCCAAATACACAGGCTGTCCTCTAATGATCAAACCAGGACTAGGCCTAAGAGAGAAGGGAGGGAAGAGCAATAGCTTTTCTTCAAGGTTTGTGAATCTGCTTTAGGTTCTGGCTTGGATCCTGTTTGCCTTGTTGAAAGGTGGCAGTGGCTTGCCACTCTTGCTGGAACCCAGTGTTAAATGTCATATGATTATTATTTATATCCACCAAGCACTTCGGATAGTAGCACTCAAGTAGAAACATATTCTTGCCATTTAACATCCAAATGTATGTACATTTTTTATACTTGCCAACAAGGACTAAGTGGAATAAGGAGCACTATGTTTTGAATGGGTTTTCTTTTTAGTTATAAGTAAATTATAAAGAGGAGTGATATTTCACATGATTTTGGTGGGGGACCCTTATAGTCTGGTGTTCATCTCTTGTTTGATATTTGACACTAACCTGGAATATTTCGCCTCGGATAGTAAATGTAATCTTTTATTTTTTGACTCTTCAGCTATTTGTACTTGACTAATCATTCCTTACATTCCCTGAACATAATCTCAGGATCCGGAGAATGTTTGATTAAACCCATTGGTGAATGATCAAAATACTGGTTCTTGAGAAGGTTAATAGTTAAATTTATAAATATTTCTAGGTTTTCTAAGACTATGATGAGCATCAAAATTGTGTGCTCTCATTCTCCAAGCAAACAGGGGAAATATGAATTGCAATGTTCTCTCAGTATGCTGGAGTGGACATGTGCAAAGTATTTCTTAGATATTTGGAAGCTTAACTGAAAAATTCCAAGTGAGTTCCATCATGTAAATTATGTAAATTCAACTATAGTAATAAAAAAATCAAATAAATATAACAAATCCTGATCTCAAGAGTTCTCAATCTAGCAGGTTCTGAAATGAGGCATTACATAAAAATGTAAAATACAAGATAGAAAATTTTAACAGTCATGCATAATGTTAATACAATCATATTTTTGAAGAAATAAAATCTTCAAATTTAATGCCACAGTTACTCATGAAAATACCTTTTGTGAGTAGAAATATGTTAAATATATTATAAAACGATTGGGAAACTTACTGCATTCTATTAGGAGGATTGTATTAATCAAACAGTAGAATAGTAACATTCATTATATAAATATTTGTTTCCCTTTTTGTAAATGAGGAGGGAGATTAGTAGGGAATTAAAGATGTTAATGTTTTTATTTAAGAATAGCATATTATTAAAATGCATGTCACTCATACTGAAAAATAAGATTAAAGTCCAGATTCAGCAATGAACTTTATAGTCTGAATCAACTCATTCTCCTAAAAGTATAGGTAAGAACTTATATGGCATGTATCTAAGGTTAGGATCTTGACCCAGGACCAAGGGCTAATGCTCTATTCAAGTCATTTGTAATCCAAAGGAGAGTAGTAATTTATGGTCAAATTTGGTGTGGTATATGAATTTACAATTAAACATGTAGTATATTATTATACTTTAATATAGTATATTAGTTTATAGTAAAATAGATGCTAAAATGGAGCTATTAATTTTCCAGAGAATTGTTCAATCTTGGAGTTTCCTTTTTTTAAAAATTTTTTATTGTTACATTAATCACCATACATTATATCATTAGTTTTTGATGTAGTGTTCCATGATTCATTGTTTGTGCATAGCACCCAGTGCTCCATGCAGAACGTGCCCTCCTCAATACCCCCCACCAGGCTAACCCATCCTCCCACCCCCCTCCCCTCTAGAACCCTCAGTTTTTTTTTCAGAGTCAAAATCTTGGAGTTTCTTATTAGGTTAGGCTGGGTCCTCCAAAAAACAGTCGCCAGGACAAAATTAACCATGTGAAGATTTTATTCAGGGAACACTTATAAAAAAGAAAGTGGGGAGGGAACTGGTCAGGAGTTGCAGAGCCATCAGATGGCCATGCAACTCTGCTTCCAAATGAAGGGGAGAGAGAGAGAAAGGAAAAGTTAGAAGTATCTTGGAAGTCTGTGCAATCTCAGAAGGGTTGAGCAGTCTTTGGGGAGCCCTTGAGTCAGCCAGCCATCAGAAGAATCTCCTGTTTCCCAAGAATGAGCCCGCCTTAGGAATTCTCTGCTGTCTTCAGCCACCGCTGGGAGCCACCCACAGGAAGCATGGCCTTGGCCCAAGGATAAAGATAGGTTTCAGAGCCTGGCAGCTGGGGCTGTTGGTCAATTACTGTCCTCTAGTTGGAGGTCTGCGAGGCACATTGTCATGGCCCCGCGCTTATCAAATCTGTTTTTCCTATTTGGAAGCCCTTTGGGCTTAGATTCATTAGGCACATACTTTGTGATCACCTGTTGTGTACACAGAGAATGCTGTCCAGCAAGATGGACGTTGCATCTGCCCTCGCAGAGCTTATGTTAGTGGGCATACACATCATCGTCCTACACAGTGTTCCTATGTATCCAATTGAGTATAATGTGCGCTATGTCGCATTAAATAAAATAGTTCCAAATTCCCCTCCAAATAAAAATGAGTAAAATATTTGTATCATTTTATGATTTCCGAATATTTCTTTTAAGGGAGCAGAATATGAACATTCATCAGTCATTTTTTTGGAGTTGTAATTTGTCTGCCTTTTCAACCAAACGCTGAAGGTAATGACCATTCACTGCCATTTTAGATGGAAACCCAGAAAGAAGGACATATTTTCCCTCTTTCAGCTTTCTCCATTACTCATTTCTTAAATTTAGTAAGAACTATGGAGATGATTTTAGATTATTGTCACTGTAAACAAATATTACTAGCTGATACTCAAAAGGAAGGTGAACTTTTCTAGTAATATCAAACTCTATTATGACAACATGGAAACCATCTCTAACTCCCTATTACATTTAATTTAAGTACTCAATAACTTTGACAATAATAATCATTAGTAGTTGGGAGCTGTGGTTTTAGCCAAGCAGCTTAGTTCAGATCCTCCTACGATCAAGAGTACATTAAATCTGCTCTTCATATTCATATCTCACTGTAAGATTAAGCTCTGAATTCTTTATCTAGATACTTTTATATGTTATAATAGATTTTTGATTTTAGTAAAAACTGGATGATTATTTTCACTTACTCTGAGTAGTAGCTTTTGCATATTAGAGGTCTTGATCAATAGTGATTATTCCTGGGGCGCCTGGGTGACTCAGTCGGTAAAGTGTCTGCTTCCGGCTCAGGTCATGATCCCAGGGTCCTGGGATGGAGCCCCGCATCCAAATGAATAGATAAAATCTTTTTAAAGAACAGTGATTATTCCTCTCTTCTGAGGACACAGAGCCAGGAGGTAGCTCAGATCACTGCAGTGGAGATTAGGCCAGATGTAAATAATGTCTGTAGTCAGCAAGGAAAGGACAACTGGTCTCCACTGAAGGGCTTGGGGAATAATTTCCAGTATGTCAGGAATCCTTTATGTAAAACTCACTTCAGTGCCTAGAGGTGAGGAGAAATCAGATGACCTAAGTCCTGATTGTGTAAATATATTGTGAAATGACACTTAAGAGAATGGTTATTTTAAAAGAGAAGTACAGCTTAGAACAAGAGCAGTAAGAAATCTACTGAATTTTTTTTCTTCATCAAGTGGATTTTTGAATATTTTAACAATTAAAATGTCATAGACTATCTCTGGTGTATAGAGTGGCTTCATCCTTGTGGAGGTTCTAATTGTTTCCAGAGAATTAGCGACATGAACTGGCCATACCTAGAAGCTTAAAGACACCTCTGTCCTCATCATGATACAAGAGCATAGATCAAAGTGTCACGTCCCAAACCCAAAGAACACTCCAGTTGCTGAAACGTGTTATCTGATTTTAATTATAGAGTGCATGGTATGGTAGACATTGGGATTTTGTCAGAGGCTCATAAAATCATGAAGTTGTGCTCCAGGTAGGAAGGATGAGTGCGCCTTTGACAACGATATCACTCTCATCGCTTTCATTTGGCGGTCAAACGTAATAAAACAGAGCTCTGTTTACACTTCAAAAAAAATACTGAATGATAAAAGCAAAAGTCACGCATCCCAAATTATATGTTTATCAGCTGCCAAATCTAGACACCTTTGTACCATGATAAAACTAGAATAATTTCTAAAATAAAAAAGAGAAGGCAATTGTTTATTTCTTTAATTACTGACATGCTTTAAAATGTACCTGCACTAGGAATAAGTAAAAAATAAAGCCATCATCAGGGGCTTACTCTATTGTGTGAGTGACTTTATTAAAGAGCAGGAATTGATGGAAGAGAAGAGAGAATGAGGTTGGCAGGAGAGTGCATACAGGAGCTTTCAGCACAAAGCAAAGAGATGCTGGCAGGCCAGCCTAGTGATGAGCCGCGGGACTGGTCCGTGAGAGTAAGAGCAGTTAAATGTGAATTCTGCTAGTGTTGTCTTTTAAGTATAATAGAGGGTTAGAGCTGGTTTCCATGTCATCTTAGTACAATTTGATATTATTGCCTAAAAATTACCCTCCTTGCTTGATAACTGCTACTAATGCTTGTTAATGGTGATTGGAGTTAAAAATTTGTTCCTATGGTCCGTTTCCTTTGTAAAAATGAGTACTTGAAGACAGAGAGGAAGCAGTTTTTTTTCCAGTCTTCCTTCTGAAAAGGCAGGCAGTCTGATGTCATTTCTCTGTCAAGTGTGTTGTTCACATGTATGAAGTACTGATGC